TCTCTGAGTCCCTACAACGAAAAACAATCACCAATAATGACATATCTTGTCAACAAACCTGAGAATCTTGGCAGTTTTGCTTACCATTGTGAGATTCTTGTTATTGTGAGCAGAATCCACGAGTTTCTCAAAACACCCGTTGATGTCACTTCATCAAGCGACATGGCTGAATGGCGCAACACATATCGCAACCTGGACAGGACACTGGATGGTTGGCTTCAGAGCTTACCGAGCGAATATAGCAAAATCTCGGCTCTTTGCCATTCTGACCCTGCGAGTCGTGTGGCGAATTGGTTCATGCTTCACAGCGCGTATGTCACGGCTGCTGTGAGACTGCACTCCTCAGCAGCGTATCCAACAGTTCGTTCTCACATTTTCGTTCCTTCGCACTACGCCATGCAGAGATGTTTATCTGCTGTGCAGAGTCTGGGGGATATCACCAAGGATGTTCTTGAAGCTGATGGCCTGAATCTCCTGGGTCCCTCGTTTGCCTTCTCGCTTTGGGTTGCTGCGAGATTACTTCTTGTTCATGCTGCGACGGTTGGATGTCCTGTGGACCCGCAGATTGACTTCTTTATTGATACGTTGCGCGATGTTGGACAACATTGGGAGGTTGCGAATAATTACTCCAAAATTCTGCATCGTGTTGTTCAGAGAGTCCGACAGGGTGACATGAACTTTTCAGCTATGCGAAGGTGAGCCCTAGCCTCTATTAGATACGGTATCTCAACTAACGACCACAGGAGTGCATATGACCTAGTGACCCTTACATCGACAGCACGACACTCTGGCCTGGAGCCAACATCAACACAAGCTACGTCTCTCAGCGAGCTTGATAGCATCGATGTGTTTGAGTTCTTCAACTGTCCTCGACTGTCAGCAAGCTCAAGCAGCCAGTCACAGCTACAGTTACAGCCGATGCGGGAACCAACCAGAAACAACGGAGTGCCCGACCCGGAGGCTGATTGGTTGGCCTTTGGATCCCCGTTCAATCAGGTGTAGAGGGTAGTTCATTTCGTTTCGATCATTTCAGACCATTTGAGTGCCTCGCGGCGCGTACAGCCATATCTTTAAAGCGGTATTTTGCCTTGAATATTACACATATGCTGCTCAGTCAGAATGAAAAGTTCCTGATATTCTGTAAATTGATAGCCGAGCATAATGATCTGCGTCACTGAGTCAAATATGATCCGGACTGGGATCCCCAGCAACATGATCTGCAGCGATGGAACAGTCTGTTATCTTCACCCTCTCCGTGCACTTTTCGCTAGCTTCAGCCATCGTCGATCAACTCGGACTCAATCGGATTGTAACGGGAGGCTAGGTCAACCTCAAAGTCAATCCAGCCCCAAACTCAATCTCAGCCTCCCCGATGCCAAGCACAACTACATTCCAACGCGCGAATCTTGACGAATATTGTTTCAGATCGTAACATGTAATAATTCATCGTATAAAAATCGTTTCCGGCATACAACTCATCCCAATCGTCCGAAACATGAATACATACAAACGCCACAACTGAAAACTCCAAAGTCAAATCATAAACCTAACTATCCCAGATAGCACCATAAGCTGGAACACCACGCGTTTCCAAACCATAAACCACCTTTTTCGTAATCTTCTCATTCGCAATGATGATAACTGCCTCAGCTTTGAAGCCCTTTACCAGATTGTAGCCCATCTTTACCAAGTCAGGTCTCCCGAGCTTTTTAGTATCGTGGATGACCGCGTTGGGAATGCGCTCGCTGATAGTCTGGCAGATTTCGTCCCCAAAGGTTTCTTCAGGGTTCTTGGTAGACCAGATAAGTTGTGTTGGACATGTTGGGTTTTGAATATGTCCGAGAACAGGACCGATGCCGGAGCCTGTTGCGATGAGGACGACGCGGTTGAAGAGCGTTGCGATGCGCATCACGCCGCAGGTTGGGACACCGCGTGTCCATATGTGAGAGGGGCCGTCTTGGATGGTGGACTTTGTCCAGTCGCCGGCATTAGAGACGACAAGGGAGTAGCCCTTGGATCGACCGTTGACGGCTTCGGGAGCCGGGATAGTGGCAAAGGAATGCCACTCCTTAAGAGGTTTGTGAGAGAGACGGGTGAAGGAACCGTTGACGGGGACAGTGTAGTCAAAGTGAAGCCTGATAGCGTGGTCTGACAGTTTTTCAGCTTCAACGGGGACTTTTCGTAGGAAGCACCAGGATGAAGCAACACTGGCCGTCGCTACAGCCAGTAACCAGAAGGCAGGTGACTTGACACAAGACTCTCCAAGTGTAGTACCAGAAGGAGTGTTGTCGTGGGCTGAGAGCACGGTTTGCACCCAGAAGAGAGCGAGCATAGTCCATCCAGCAAAGCGGTGAGTTCTCTCAAAGAGATCGTGATAACGCTTGCGCACTGAAGGCCAAGCCATTCCGATCATGCCAACGAACATGGCAGACAGGATCCAAGAGATGACTTGAGAAGCGATGGATAAGGCACCCCAGTTCGCACAGCTTCCGAACGAACAAGCAATGTCGGCGATATTCGTTGCAAGAAGCCATGCTCCTGCGCTGACAGCTGCACCTGAATGGACTCCGCCGAGATGGTAGATCTTTGCGCATCGGGTCCTGATAGCAAGAGGCCAGGTCTTGGGGACGCTGCAGGTGATAGTGTATAAAACGTTGATAACGAATTCTTGACGAACAAGAACAGCCGTGGTTAGGTTGATGGCTGTGATGATACCCATCCACTCTCTGGTGATACCAGTCAAGAGGAGAGCGATAGCAGCACCGATGTTGAAGAGTCCAACAAGGGAAAACAGCCGACGATAAACAATGAGCAATCTGTGCCGCAACCCCCTCGCATGCTTAGGCATATCCTTCTCAGGGAGGGCCTTCTCAAGATCATACTGATGCTCATCAATAAGTGTTGTATCACTCGCATCAGAGAAAGAACTGAGCTGCGTAGCACTCGACGCATTCGAATCCATACGCGTATGCAAGACAGCAGGCTGGGGTTTCCCAACCTCCACCATCTCTTTCATTCTCAAAGCTCTCTTGTCGATCTTTCCGTTTGCAGTCATAGGAAGACTGTCCAGTTGGTGGTAATGAGTTGGCATGGCGTAGTAGGGCTGAAGGGTCTTGAGATGGGCTTCAACAACGGCGGTAGGGCAGTGGTTGGGGGTGATGAAGGCGTGGATCTCATTGTTGATGAGGAGAGCAGTGGCGGCTTGAACGGAGGGACAGGATTTTATGGAGGCTGTTACACCGTCGAGTTCGACGCGGAAACCTTTGACTTTGACTTGGTCGTCTATCCGGCCAAGAATGTGGAGAGTGCCGTTGGAATTCCATTGACAGAGATCACCAGTGTTGTACATATTTGATCTGAATCTTAGGTCAGTATCTCGTTCAAAGATGTCATGACTTGAAAACTTACCCGTCTTGGGTGAAAGGGTCAGGTCTGAATCTCTCAGTTGTCTTGTCTGGCAAGTCAACATAACCGCGAGCTACGCCAGCACCACCAGCCCAGACATTACCGACTTCTCCAACAGGTACTGGCACAAGAAACTCGTCTAGGATATAAACATTATTTCCTGGTGTTGGTTTACCGATGGAGAGAGGTTGGCCTGTTTGGTGCTGGTGCATGGTGTTGACGATGGTGGTTTCTGTTGGGCCGTAGCAGTTGAAGTATGAGACATGAGACGCCCATAGGTCAGCGAGCCTAGAGAGGTTAGTTGAAATCAGAAAGTAAGTGAAAGTAGGGGACTGACTGTTGAGAGCTAGGCTCTCCTGCTGTGGCAACGGTCTTCATTCTTGGAAAGTCCTGTGGGCTATACTTTGAGAGGATGCTTGGAGTGCAGATAAGGACGTCAATCTATGATAGTCAGTGACTAGCTCAACCCTTGGACATAATAAACTCACTTGCTTGAGGGCCTTTGACCATTCAGAGCCCCGCATGACTAAGGTGCCGCCATTTGATAGACAACCAAGAGTCTCCCACGCGGCTTGAACTTGTATGTCAGTATGGTCCTTCGCCTTTGGATCCTTGGTTTACTTACCCATATCAAAGCTGACGTTCAGCACTTGACCAACACATGTTCCAGGACCAATACCCAGATTGCCTGGTGCTTGACATAACAAGTTTGTCACATTGTTGTGAGTGATGTCGACTCCTTTTGGTGTACCTGTTGTGCCTGATACATGTTAGTCTAATGAGAAGTAGTATAAGATAAGTCAACATACCTGATGTATATATCACATAGCAGCCATCCTCAGGCTTACTGACTGGAGTAAAGTCTGCAATACTTTGTTCACTGTTGTCTTCATCCTCAATAATGACAACATCTGTCACATCCGTGTTCGAGATACGATGTGCCGTAGCCTTTGAAGACAGAGCTATCCTTCCTCCGGTCTGTTGTAACACAAACCGCAAGGTCTCATCTGCCACTACGCCTCCATCAAGAGGAACATACTGCGCTCCACAAGACAAGATGGAAAGTATACCAACCAACATACCAACACCACGCTTGACAACAAGCGGCACTCGATGTCCCGGCATGACGCCCAGACTTCGTAACCGTTGCGCCAACCGGATGCTTCGTTCAGCAAGCTCGCCATAGCTTATTTCAACAGCTGGCTCGGCAGATAGATCTCGTGCCGCAGTTGCCGAAGGCTGTGTGGTGGCATAGTGGAAGAATGCCTCTGTGACAGTTGAGAAGCGAGGTCTACTGCATGTACCTCGTGTAAACGAGATTGGCACGGCAGCTCCCCGTGGGGACGAGACGTCAAGCACAGATGATGCCATGCTAAGCTTAATCTGAGGCGTGTGCAAGATAAGATGAGGATCGTCGTACAATTCCAAATAGACAGAAACTCAAATAGATTGAGTAGGAGTTGGGTCGGGGATGGCGGGAGATTGTGCATCAAAGATTTGAAATTAAGGAGTTGCATAAGAAACATCTCTCCACACACAAAAAGAAGGTCTGTTCTTAAATAGAGCCAAAGCCCTCCTCCCTCTTTTTTCTAATCCTACCCAGCCTTCTCGTCATGCTTGGCAGGTAGACCCAACACCAGCAACCGACGGATCGTCAGCCAGTCAGCTGCCCTTTCAAGTTGCACCTCGGAGGAGTACGCCCCCCAACCGCCCCCAGAATGCGTCTTTTTTCCTCTATCGAGATACAAGAAGGATCCGCCTTGAAACTCCGGAGTCAGCCCAATATGGTAAAATCTGTTGGTAAACAAGAAACCATCTGCCAAGCTAAGGCATGTAGTTCCAGATAGCGTCGAAAAGAGGGCCAGCTCAACAGGTATACCACATGACAGATGGGGCAAGGATGTGTTTGCTTTGGTCCGTTGGTCCCAGTTAGGTAAGTAGGTAATGTACCTGAACTCATCGAGGTCTTTGACCGAAAGGTACAACAAGGCGTGTGATGTGGTCTGCGTGCGTACCCCTGTAGGTACAGCAGAATACATACATACGTACCGTAGGCCCGCAGGCCCGCATGTAGAGAGGGATCTGCCCTGCCCTGGCTATGGCCATGGTTCCGTGGCTGTGGATACAAGGGCTGGCCAAGACATCTTTAGCACGCGGGTTCTGCGGGAGCTGCAGGATCTGAGTTCGGCATCTGCAAAATCTCACATGAGCCGAGATGATATGAGGTGGAGTTGGGCTGTAAGCTGTGCCGCTTTTCGAAGGAGGTTATCCAAGATAAGCCTAAATGACAGATGGCTTACTCATCGCCTATATCGTATGAAATATAAAGAAAAACAAGTATTTGAACTGTTTGAACAGGTTTTTACCAAAGGCTCACCGAAATCTATCAGTCAAATCTTACTCAACAAAAAGATCATCGGGTCTAAGAGCTAAGCATGCGAACGGCTCGACACTTGGACCAAGCCAACGGAATGACAGACACCAAGATCGACATGAGAGACAGCAGACTACGAGATTTGCACCAATACTTCCCGACGTGGAATTAGTCCCCGACCACCGCCCTTTCAAAATGCCTCAGCCAACACCAAAAATCTGCAGTGTCTCACTCTCTGCAGTGCAGGCTTCTCTTTCTGCTGGGTTGACCCCAGCCATGTCTCAGTTGAATCAAAGACACTTTTGGTGTCCCCACTATCGATTTAGTGATCGACGCGGCTAAGCTCGCGTTATTGACGTACCCGAACTATTTGATCCAACGCAACCCGACAAGACGGTCAATCTTGCCAAGTGCAGTGCTTTCAGCTACACTTTTTTCTTGCTCTCTTTCTTACGATCCTGCCATCGATTTCGATCTGATCATGGAGGAGCAATTGGTCCTTGCGTCGACGCCTGCAGACGGCGTACGCGTCCTCGCGTTGAACAGACCCTCCAAGCGAAACGCCCTCTCGCAGGAGCTCATTACCGTGTTTCTGGAACAGCTGAACACGGCGTCCAGTGACGATGGCGTGCGAGTCATTGTCATCACCGGCAGCTCTTCTTTCTTCTGCGGTAATGTACCCTGTCCTACCCATTACCCATTACCATATGTACTGCGTACCCATGGGTGAATCCACACGCCACGCCACAGGGGTATAGCCCCCCCGGCACTTGTCGCGCCCTAAGTTAGTGGCAGGGCTAAGCTGAACTGGAACTGACGTGCCAATGATTCTTTAGCGGGAGCTGATATCGGGGAGATCTCGCGGCTCGATGCGGAAGACGCGCGGGGCTGTCGCTATCTGGCGGACCTCTGTTCGGGGATGCAGGCCGTGCGCAAGCCCTTGATAGCGGCTGTTGAGGGAATGGCGGTGAGTTTAGTTTTTGATCGTACCCGAGGTGTTGGTTGAGGCTAGACTGACGATGAGCTTTTGCTGGGGATTGACAGCTCGGAGGGGGCTTTGAGCTTGCTCTCATGGTGAGTTGAGCTTTTTTTTTCCTTTCCGTGGACGGAACCCGTGAGTTGCTGACATCTCACAGTGTGACCTGATCTTTTCCGCGGACGGAAGCCGCTTCGGCCTTCCAGAAGTCAAGATTGGTCTCATCCCTGGCGCTGGCGGTACACAGCGTCTGACCAACGCCGTGGGAAAGTACAAGGTATTTCCCTCCCCCCAAACCTCGTGCTACCTTGTGCTGATATGCGTGATAAAGGCCATGCAGATGATCCTCCTTGGCCAGCCCATATCAGCGGAAGAGGCCCGGTCCGTGGGTCTTGTTGCGCAGCTGTATGGGAGCGGCAAAGTCCTCGAGCACGTTGTGAAGGATCATGCATCGACGCTTGCGGCCCTGAGCCCCACGGCGCTGGGCTTGGCTAAAGAGGCTATCTGTAGATGTAAGTGGCCATCACGTAGTTTGTGTGCCACACGTTGACTAACATATTCATCATAGCTGATGATTTGGGGGCCGATCATGAGTTTGAGAGGAGTTTGTATTACTTTGCGTTTGGGACCGGGGATAAGCGAGAGGGTGTCAAGGCGTTCTTAGAGAAGAGGAAGCCAGAATGGGGGTCTAGGTAACTGTACACGTTGGGCCTTTCGTAAAGTGGCAGTATATGCATGACGCGGCGATGATAGTTAACGCTCAAAGTGTATGCTTCTGTTGAGGGATATCATTTGTGCGCGGCATATGCCTGTATTCTCTTGGACGATCCCGCGCTGCCAAGCTTTGCTGTCAGTTGATGATATTGTCGATCGTTGATTATCAATCATCCAGCGTGGTTGGCCTCAGCCGAATACTGTTGCTCAGTTCTCACATTTTTCAGGCTCAACATTGAAGTTGCCAGCCTCCCAACACTTGTGTACACAGTCAGCACTTCTGCACTCTTGCCTAGGTGTCAGCCTCTGGCATTGGTATATCCACTCCTATTTTCTACCCCCTCATGAATATCAGGTGATTACCTGTTCATGTCAACGTGTATCATGCGCTACTAAACGTCGTCCCGTCTCGCCTCGGTACGCAAGTCAAGCTCGGAAGTCATTCCAGACCATTCAGTACTTTTTCAAGCCTCATGCAACTGTGGGCCATGACTGCAGAGAAAAAGTGATGCAGGGGTCTAGGGTTGGACCGGATCTGTTGAAGAAAACTAGCTGCATGCCAACACATGGTCCGGCACGGCACGTTGTATAATCGAGATGTAACCTCGTTTGAGCAAAACCACGTACCTAGTTCAGTCTCGACCAACAATCTTGATAGCGTTCTTTGATTTGCTATCACGACAAGGATCTTGTCAAAGCGTGCATCAATACCCTGTTGGCACAAATGCTAAGCTGTCCGGTGTTAACCAACAATAATTCTTGCGGCCTCGCCCAGTCTTGAAGCCACGATACGAATGCCCATAAACCAACACGAGAAACTGCACAATTCGCGCGCAATTACTGCATTTGCCCATGCAGAGTCGTACGATTTATGCTCCAGGCTAGGGTGATCCTCCCGCATCTCATCGTCCTAACCAGCGCCACGCCGCGACTAGGTAACAATAGTTCGTGGTGAGCCCCTGGCACAAACTCGATTCTTCATTGGTTAGTGCACTTCAACGCCCAGGGTATCTTGTTCGCGTATATTGATTGACTTTCGGACATGCTTTCAATAGTCTTCAATGTAACATCCATTAATGTAGCCTTGAACCTTAAATTAATGAAAACGACCTCTCGCTGAACAATGTCTTTGCCGATTAGATCTTGCCGCGGCGGGATGTCACTGCGGATAGAGCGCTTGTGAAAATATTCGATATTGACACTATGTCAAGATTTGTACCCCAACTCATCCATAGATGATTGACAACTATATAACTGAAGAAACAAAGACAGATCCTTTGCGTTTATCTTCCATACTGGTCAGCTGAAACCGAGTTCATAAACGTAGTACCAGCCAGTCGGAGAGTATCAGGCTGAGCCATCGATCCATTAGGATTGAAGTAGAAGTGCTCGCCGTAGCCACCGCCATTGTTGAAAACAGGCCACTCGGGAATACCGGAAACTACAAAGGTTAGTTTGATATTGCACATGTAGGGGGCATGAAAAACTTACTTCCGTGTTCGTTGGGGTTGAGCTCGGTGATGAAACTGATCCACATATGGCTCACGAGCTTAGCAAGGTCGAGAACCTCTTTTGACGCGTTGACAAGAGGGCCTTGGCCCTTGCCGTAGCCTTGGCCGAGCAAGTTGTAGAAAACGTAGGCGACCTCGACGAAGTGAGGAGTTCCAATGTAGTCGGCTACAGTCCATGTCAGTAAGCACAAATCATCTCGAGCGTACGAGGTTATACTTACGCATATTAGTGTTGGGAGACTCGAATAGGTATGCGTATGAAGTCACGTTGTGCTTAGACCAAGCATCAGTTCGCGCACGTCTCCACGACATGAAGAGCTGATCGCCCTGCAGAGCAGCCCATCTCTTATATTGCTTCTTGACAGGATCACTTGGCTTGTAACGGTAACCCGATGGAATTCCAAGAGCGTCGATGTTAGGATACAGAGCCAAGAGTGTGTCAACGGTATCAGCATCAAGTCCAGCGGCTCGAAGCTTAGAAACAGCCTCTTCAGTAGAGTCAACGCCGGGCAGACCAAAGAAGCTACCCTCATCGGCATTTGTTCCAGCCATGAGAGGCACCTTTGTGAAGTTTCCGTCGGCGAGAAGCTTGGAGGGATAGTCGGGGACAAAGTCATCATCAACGACAGGGTAGAAGCTGCCCTGGATCTTAGTGCTCGTGGCATTGAGCTTCTCGAAGGGGACTTGGCGGAGACAGGCAAGCTTGTCGGATTCCTTGTCACAGCCAACTGCCTTGACGATAGTGTCGTAGCGCTGCTGCGGTCCAGTGTAGTTCTTCATGTCAGTGCCATCAGCTCCAGATTCGGCGATGATACCACGGAATAGCCCCTCGTCAATACCTCCGTAAGCCATGGCTTGGTAACCGACGTTACCACCGCCAGCACTCTCACCGAAGATGGTAACCTTTGAAGGGTCACCACCGAAGGCAGCAATATTCTCCTTGACCCAGTGCAGGGCAATGCGTTGGTCCTTCAAGCCGAGGTTGGCAACTCCAGCATCGAGGATATCCTTGCTGGCCATGAATCCCCAGAAAGAAAGTCTGTCTGCTGACCGTTAGTCACAGGTCTAGTTGGTAGAGGATTATCGGCTTACAGTCGACGGAGACTCCAATGAAGGGCTTGCCCATCTTGACAGACTCCTCTACCATGAAGCTCATGTTGTAAACACCGTTGGCGCTAAAGTCCATGGTCCAACCTCCACCGTGGATAAAGACTCCAACTGGAAGTTTCTCCTTCTTGCCACCCTTGGACACAGCGGGCCTGACAATGTTTAGAGTCAGGCAGTCCTCGCTGAAGGTCGCAGGACCTTGATCAGGGCTATTCTAAGCAATGTCAGAGACGCTTCAGACGAACATGAGGAGGAAGACTCACCCCATAACCGACACAAGAATCAGCATACTTGGTGACCTTCTTGATCTTGAAAGTCTCATTCAAAGGCTGAGGGTTCTGGAGACGAAGTTGGCCGACGGGAGGTTGAGCAAAGGGAACACCGAGGAAGAGATCTTGATCTAATCCGGCGACATATTTGCCCT